TCCATATCATAGGCTGGCATATCCTTCAAAATTTTCATGAGCTGATCAAGGATTTTAAGATTAAGTTTTGCAGCTTTATCCCTTAATTTTCTCTTACACATTTCTTCCTGATCTATAGGATCTCCTTCTATAGACTGGATCTCTGGTACAAAAGATTTTTTGTTTCTCTGCCTTAGTATTCACACAAATTCTTTTTACATCATTCTGCAGGTCAGATAACTGAATGTCTTTTGTTTGAATTGTACTTTGCATATCATCTATTTGCTCAGTCAAAATCTGGCAATTAGCACATACACTGTTCTGATCTTGCTGCATTACACAAAAACAGCAGTCTTAGGAACATCAAAAATCATGGCATTAAAAACATTAACTAACTTCATTACATTTTCTAACTTGTTTGCTCAGTTTCTTAAAGGAAAACTTAGATTTTTCTATCTTAATATTAGCCCTGTAAGCACTCATTATACATGTACCGCCAAAGTTCATTATCTTTAACAAATGTAGACAGATTCTTGAATTCTAACTTACTCTCTCTAGATAATTCATCAATTAAATCCATTACTTACCAATTAAGAAGGTCTTTCTTTACATAACGCGTCTTTTCTCTCTTGGCGGGAAAATGACATCACCAAGGAACAGCGTTGCTTGCAATTGCGCAAAATTCTCACCAATTCTGCTTTTAGGTTCTCGATTATGCCGACGATTCATCTGTTGCAGACTTTTACTTCTCCTGAAAGCTTGATTTCATATTTTGCTGAATTTGCAAACAACTTCCCTCTCATCAAGATGAAGAGAGAAAAAGTCAAAAATAAGCGATCATCGGAAACGAATCGAACTGGAGGCTCGCCACTGTAAAAAATATCGTATTGTCTCGATATTTTATTAACTTGTATTGATGAGAAATGTTCAAATAGAAAGTCCTTCCACTTCTTGTAAAAACTCAAAAAGATGATTTAATAATAACGTTGCATAAAATTAGAAATAAAATATTGGCATACAGAATGTTTAAATAATGTCCAAAAAATATAGTTAAGTTCTTGATAATAAGATTGTATATATGTATATGTGTGTATGTGTGTGTGTGTGTATCTCAACAAGGCTGCTATAGAGTGAGTGAGAAACTCAAACCTTTGTTCTGAAAAGAGCAATCCAGCCCCCACCAACCTAAAAGTGGGTTGGTATTCTCTTGTAGTCCTACTAAGATAATTGCTTCTCTCAAAGTCTGAGTGTAACTGTATCTCTTACATAGATGGGGGAGGATGGGGGGGAAGGTATAGCTAATTACTCTCATATGTGGCTTGAATGTAAAGGAAAAAAAACCCAAGATATGTAATATTCACAGACTATGAAGTCTAATTCCTTACTTTTCCCAATCTAGAACAAATATAAATATAATAACTCAATTATTCTATTAAGATCCAACTCATTCATACTTATGTTAGTACTGTTAATAAGAAGAAATTAGGTATTAGGTTAAGGAAAGCTTCTAAAACATTGTCGCAGCAGTGTCAGTGGAGGCAAACGGCCAGGAGTAGAGCACCAGGGATCTCCACTGCAGCCATACCTACCACCACGGCCAGTAGTGGTGCCGGTGTGCACGGAGGAAGTAGCAGTCAGCCAGTGAGGAGTAGCGGGGGGGGGCAAAGTTTCCTACTCGGCGGTGTGGGCAATTTTTCGTCAAGCCGCCCGAGGAAGTAAACGTAGCCGTATGTCGACTATGTGGCCAGAAAGTCAAGCGTGGCCAGGGGGCCCATGTTGGGACTACAGCGTTGCGTCAGCATATGCAGCGTCGCCATTTGGTGGCCTGGGAAAACCGTGATAAAGATACGGCGGTTCTGCCTGCCCCAGCCCCCGCTCCATCACCCGCTCCGTTACTTGCTCCGTCACCCGACGTCAATCGCCCTCTATCAGCCAGTCAAGGCTCCAACACCTCTGCTGAGGGGAGTTGTCGCTCGTTGGCATCTTCCGCTCGTTCAGATGCTCCTTCTCCTGCTACTCCTCTTCTCGGATTCCGTCAGCAGTCTTTCTTGGAATCCGTTTCCAAGAGACAACAGTTTGCGAGCACGCACCCGACGGTGCAGAAGCTGAACGTCCTCCTGTCCAAGTTGCTGGTGCTGCAGTCCCTCCCTTTCCAAGTGGTGGACTCAGCACCTTTCCGAGAAATGATGGCTTGTGCCGCGCCGCGGTGGAGAGTGCCAAGCCGGCATTTCTTCGCCAAAAAGGCAGTGCCAGCCCTGCATTCACATGTAGAAGAGATGGTGGGCCAGTCTTTGAGCATGTCGGTCTCTGCCAAAGTGCACGGCAGCGCCGACGTGTGGAGCTGTAACTACGGTCAGGGACAGTACATGTCATTTACGGCCCACTGGGTGAACGTGGTGCCGGCACAGCCGCACCAGCAACTTGGACAGGTCACGCCGCTTTTGCCTCCACGTTTGCACGTCCTTGGTCCAGCAAAGATGTCCGCCTCTACCACCTCTTCTTCCGCCGTGTCCTCAGCCGCCACCCCCGTGCCAAGTCCCATTACCCGACCGGCATATCACATGTGCAGGCGCAACGGTGTCACGCTGTGCTGCACCTGGTATGCCTTGGCGAACGTAGTCACACAGGGGAGGAACTTCTGAGTGTAATGAACAGAGAAATCGACAGATGGCTGTCTCCGCGCAAACTGAAAATCGGAACCATGTTGACCGACAACGGAAAGAACATGGTGTCTGCTCTGCGTCAAGGAAGGTTGTGCCATGCGCCATGCATGGCTCACGTGTTCAATCTGGTTGTCAAGCGGTTCCTAAAATCCACCATCCCACTGCAAGACATCCTTAAAATGTCACGTAAACTTTGCATGCATTTCAGCCATTCCTACACCGCAAAGCACACCCTCCTTGAGCTGCAGCGGCAGAACGGAATTCCACAGCATCGCCTGATCTGCGACGTTGCAACAAGGTGGAATTCAACCCTACACATGTTAGACCGCCTTTACGAACAGCGAAAGGCCATCACCGATTTCCTGATGTTACAAGCGGATAAAGGTACTCCCCTGTGTAACTTCGATGTCAGCCATTGGCAGCTCATGCGTGACACCTGCCGCTTGCTCAGGCCCTTTGAGGAGGCCACGCTATTCGTGAGTCGGCAGGACTATGGGATGAACGACGTCGTCATTCTGTTGCACGTCCTGGAACAAATGCTGTTAACAATGGCTGGTCAGGGTGCGGTAGACGTGGCGCACAGATCTCAACGCCACATGACCCCTGTGGGGGCAGGACAGGAAGAAGAGGAGGAGGTAGAGGAGGACATTGGTGCTCAGGAATTATTGAGTGAAATGGGTGGTTTTTCCACTCAGCGGACAGGAGTGGAGGAGCAGGAGCATCTGGTAGAGGAGGAGGAGGAGACAGAGGACCCAGACGCACCGTGGCAGTATGCTGTGGAGATGGAGGCAGGGAGTCCCTCGCATTCCTTGGCACAAATGGCCCATAGCATGCTCGGTTGCTTGCGTAGCGACAGCCGAATAATAACCATCAGACAGAGGGATGACTTTTGGCTGTCCACCTTGTTGGACCCTCGCTACCGTTCAAAAATGGTGGCCTTTTTCACACCTGCTGAGAGGGAGGCCAAAATAACGTACTATAAAAACCACCTATGTAGTCAGTTGGTCTCTGCCTTTCTGCGCCAACGTCCATCCTCAGACACTGTGGGCCCTGTGCGCTCGCGTTCCGCTGCCATGGCAGCAGGGGAGGGGTGGGGGTGGTAGGAGCAGTGGCAGCTCCACCAGCAGCGGCTGCCTCAGTCTGCAGTCGATGATGAGTAGCTTTCTTCACCAGCGCAGTGAGGAAACTACTAACCAGCCGCAGCAGCAGCAGCATCATCAGTGGACCTGGAGCAGGACCTCAAACAACAGGCTTGGGCCTACTTGGACAGCACCCTGCCAACCGAGGTAGACAATCCCCTTGACTACTGGGCAACGAAACTTGACCTTTGGCCCCAACTAGCTGAATTTGCCCTTGAAAGGCTGTCATGCCCGGCCAGTGCGTGGCATCGGAGCGCGTGTTTAGTGCGGCGGCAGGAGGTATTGTAACTCCGCGGAGGACACGACTGTCCACCCAAAGTGTGGAGAGACTCACGTTTGTGTGAAAATGAATCAGGCGTGGATTAGTCTGGATTTCAAACCCACCAGTTCCTGACACAACTGACTAAATCCGCCATGAATCATGCCCCAAACATGTTATTATTTTTAACATAGGCCTCTGTATGGCCTTCAATTTAAGCTGCTTACGCTTCGCCACTCTGCCATGGGCCCCTGTACCGCCTCCTCTTGCTGCTGCCAGGTCCAGAGTGTGTCATGGGTCCCTGTACGGCCTCCCATTGCTGCTGTCTCCATCGCCACACTCTGCCATGTGCCACTTTCAGGTCTCCTCACACTGCTGGTGGGTTCCATTTTGTCATAGGGTGCTGGGCAGATTACGGGCCTCCCATTGCTGCTGCCAGGCCCGTAATCTGCCATGGGCCCCCGTACCGACTCCTCATGCTGCTGCCAGGCCCGTAATCTGTCATGGGCCCCTGTACCGCCTCCTCATGCTGCTGCCAGGTCCAGAGTGTGTCATGGGTCCCTGTACGGCCTCCCATTTGCTGCTGCCAGGCCCGTAATCTGCCATGGGCCCCCGTACCGACTCCTCAATTGCTGCTGCCAGGCCCGTAATCTGTCATGGGCCCCTGTACCGCCTCCTCATGCTGCTGCCAGGTCCAGAGTGTGTCATGGGTCCCTGTACGGCCTCCATTGCTGCTGTCTCCATCGCCACACTCTGCCATGTGCCACTTTCAGGTCTCCTCACACTGCTGGTGGGTTCCATTTTGTCATAGGGTGCTGTATGGCCTCCCATTGCTGCTGCCAGGCCCGTAATCTGCCATGGGCCCCCGTACCGATCCTCATGCTGTGCCAGGCCCATAATTCTGCCATGGGCCCCCGTATTACCGACTCCTCATGCTGCTGCCAGGCCCGTAATCTGTTCATGGGCCCCTGTACCGCCTCCTCATGCTGCTGCCAGGTCCAGAGTGTGTCATGGGTCCCTGTACGGCCTCCCATTGCTGCTGTCTCCATCGCCACACTCTGCCATGTGCCACTTTCAGGTCTCCTCACACTGCTGGTGGGTTCCCATTTTGTCATAGGATGCTGGCGAGATTACGGGCCTCCCATTGCTGCTGCCAGGCCCGTAATCTGCCATGGGGCCCCCTGTACCGACTCCTCATGCTGCTTGCCAGGCCAGTAGTCTGTCATGGGTCCCTGTACGGCCTCCACATTGCTGCTGTCCAGGCGGTCCCCACACTCTGTCTCATGTGTGCCACTTTCAGGTCTCCTCACACTGCTGGTGGGTTCCATTTTGTCATAGGGTGCTGCAGGATGGCCTCCCATTGTGCTGCCCCCGTAATCTGCCATGGTGGGCCCCTCGTACGGGCCTCCTCATGGCTGCTGCCAGGCCCAGTAAACTGTCATGGGCCCCTGTGACCGCCTCCTCATGCTGCTGCCAGGTCCAGAGTGCTGTCATGGGTCCTGTACGCCCTCCCATTCTGCTGCTGTCCTCCACCGCCACATTGTGGCTCCACCACTCTGGTTTTGGCCCCGTGAAATGACCCCAAATGAGGTGAGAAGTGGTGCGGTTGATTCTGAAGATCGACGGCACCCATCTGCATGTACAATACTGACGGACAGTATTATTTTCCTCTTCCCCAGCAGGACTACCAAGGGCAATTTAACTTAAAGGTTTACAGTGTTCTGCACATAATATAAAGGCTCTCTGACAGCCTAGAATACACCATTTTTATAAGTTAAAAAACGGCAGGCGAATTTATATTCGCATCAGAAACGAAGTTATTCCGCGAATTCGGCACGAGAATCAAGCCGAATCGATCAATTTATGAATAGTGTCGCTTCAACTCTTACTCATGCTCACTGACATACCCCATATCAGAATCCAGCGTCCACCGCTATTAACACCAATACCACCAGCTGATGATCACTGCTAAAACCCATTAAGCCATCGTTCCTGATTCACTGACATACCCCCCTACCAGGTATCTTTCATCACCACCCAATTCACATATACCAACCACCTGATCACTGAAACATTACCCCATACCCAGAATCATGATCACCACCAAACATCCATACCAGCGCCCTGACCACTGTACATTACCCCCATACCAACAATCCTGGTCACACACATACAACATACCAGCACCCTGATCACCAGCCATTACCCCATACCACCAATGCCAATCTACCACCTCATAAAGCCATACCAGTGTCCTGAAAAAAAAAGGCAGCCTTACACAGATACATGGTCTTTCAGCACTTGCCTGTTGTTGTCAATGTATAATATTAATTTTATAATATTCCAAACTTATAATTCGGTCTTTAAGTAGTTATTGAAATATATGCTTGGCAGAATATATATTCCCTCTTAATTGGGATGGGAATTTGAGGTATTATGGGCATTTCAGTGGTCAGGAATTGTGTGAATTATTTGTGTTTGAAGCTAAGAGTAAGTCAGTTGAGTTTAAAAGTCATGTTTCTCTTTAAAAATACTCATTGTAATGTATATCCATATTGTGAATTTCTTATAATGAGTCTGATAGATTATAAATGTAGTCATAAAATCATGGATTTTTGACAGTTGTATGTAATATAAGAAACTTCAGAAACCTTTGTCATAGTCTGTATGTCAATTCATTATAATGACTCTTGGTGGTTTGATTGGGAACACATGTTTTCTCTATTCAAGCTGGCGGAGTTGATTTGGGGGAGTAGTTTAGAAGCCCGCGAATTTAGTAACACAAGCTTATTCGGGAGGACCTAATTTTCTCATAGCATTTTTAAAGTATGCATCTTTACAAAGAACAGGCTGGGTCAGGAACGATCTTACCTGATACACTACACTTCACTTTCATTCACTCACACTCACATAGACATTCTTTTCACACACATCTTACACTCAAAGCACGTGCTTGGACAAAGAACTAAAAAGAATAGCACATGCGTCATTTTTCTTAAACTAGGCCAGAAAACTTCTAATCTAAGCTAGGCCAATGGAAACTACATTTATTTCCTATTATATCCAAGGCAATTTATTCTTTATTTGTAATTTCATTTTAAGCTACATATATCTGAATTTACTGTTTTTTTATTGACTATGTATTTTTTGGATGCTCCGCGTGTGATCAAATAAAGTCATCCACTGGCTCATAACTGTACCTGGTATTCATAAGGATTTCTTTTATCTTCCGCCACAACCATCTACAAGAAACCATAGACCTATTAGCTATATGCTGTTTTTTTCATAAAACTATGGAAAATCTTAACATTATTGGCGATGGTGCCAGCAATTACGATCTTTTTCACGTTTGTTCAATTTATTCCTTCGCTTCTTCCAGTGGGGGATTGAGAATGAAACTATATTCCATAGGATTAAGCTTCGGAAAGATTGCAGACCGCTGGATACGGGAAATTACGTTTGGTTGTGGTGAGATCTGAGGATCTCAAGTGGTTGACCATAAAAAGTCCCTGAGCCAGAACAAAAGAGGAAACATTTAACTACATTCGGTGAGTAGAAAAAATTGGAATTTAATTGAGTTCAATTAGGCTAAATGAAAGCTAAATTGGAATTTCAAGGTTATTTTAGCTAGCCATTGCATCTGCTTACTGGTTATATGGAAAGCTATGTATGATCAATGTATGCAGGCTAATGATGATTATTGATAGCTCTAGATTTACGTTTAATAAAGATGAAATAGAAAATTGCGTTAACCATAGTGAAGCTAGTTAGAGATTTTCAAGTTCCTATAGGTTGTTTGAATGGCCAAGGAGAAAACATTTTGTTTTGTGTTGTTAAGACAGATAGCAAAAAGTTGTCTTACAGGAGATACATACATGCAGGATTACTGTTGAATCCAATTGTGCAAACTGAGAAACATTTTTGCTACCTATATTTGAACATCTTGAGCATAGAGAATATGAATCTCATAATGTTTGCAAATATTAAAAAATAAGCCAAATAGCTGGTGAGTATCTTAAGAAAGGAAGTCAATTCAGAAAACTGCCCACATAGCCTCATTTATCCCAGACTCACCCATGGGCGGTTATGAAGTAGGTCAGATGAAGACTAATGTACAGAGAGGAGAAATTACCTTGCTAGAGCATCTCTAAAGTTGCAAGTTATCAGATTCAGCGATCAGTATAATGAAAATATTGAAGGATATTACCAGACATATAACATGAGAGAACAATTCTTTCCATAATTTCCAGATAGTTTTAGAGAATTTTTGTGATAGGTTTCAATTAACTGATGATGCAAAGATATCGCCATTTGTGGGTTTGTGGATCCCCAGAGTTTTATGGCTCGTAGGTTAGTCATAGGACTCCTTTCATGAGATGAGGATGATATGGATCATCATTGCAATGGCTACTGATAGACTACGACAGTTATTTACATGCTTCACACAACTAGGAGAGGAGGACACCTAGTTTGGAAACTTTTAGACTCCTTAAGAGCTACTTTATGATGTCCCTTATGATTTTAGGATGAGATTTTATAAAGCATACAGGCATGATTTATTTTAATTTACAGATGAGGACCCCTGCTCTACTGCTATGGTCAAGGATTTTGTAAAAAAAAATTTAAGTACCTTGATCCAGCATCTTTATTGATTTGCTAATGTATAGGATAATTTGGATGGACGCTGCCTATTATTATTGACAAAATTAGGAGACAATTTAAAGCACTAAATAATGTAGAAGACCAAAAAATTTCTTTAATTGAGAATTTAATTTTTCCTAAGACTGACAGTCAGGTAAAAAAGACAGGAAATTTTGGGCCCCCCCCAGGAATTTTACAGAGTTTAAGGGCAAGGGAAACAAAGACCCCCTCACTTTTTTACAAATTTGCAAAAACCCGGGGGATTTGGAAAAAGGCAGTGTAGGAATTTTTGAAAGACATTCAGATGGAAAAAATTTGGGTTTAAAGGGAAAAAGGGTTATTTTTTCCCGAACCGTCAGCCCCCAATTGGGTTTACAGGAAGTTAAAATTTCTTCACCCTTTCCCCTCCCTATGATCGAGAGATTAGTGAAATGTTTAATTTTGTAATGGAGGAAATGTGAAAAAAATAAATTATCCAAAAACTTCCCAAAACAGCCTTATTACCCCCCCCCATGATAACAAAAAAAAGGAAGTTGAACTCCCTTGTCTGGAAAAATGTAGCCCAATTTTCTTGGATTAAATGTGGCCGCCCTTATGTAAAAGCTAAAATTAATGGACCCGAAATTTTTCAAAATTTTTTGGTTTCAGGGAAACTCAAAAGTGTTTTTTGGGATTTAAAAAAAACCCAAATTTCCCTTTAAGCAACAGTTTTGCACAGTTGTAGGTTTCATGGAAAAGGTGATGTTCAAGCTAAAAAAATGTAAAAATGTGTCTTTTTTAAATACCCCGGATGTTCGCAAATTTGGGATAGATTTTTTGGGATTGTCAAGGTTTTTTTGAGAAAATTTTTGGTGTGATGTTTTGTCTCAAAGAGGGGGGATACTTGATTTTGCCAATGGCATTTTTTTGGCAAGGCTCTGCTAAAACGTAAGCCTAGGGGAATTTTTACCCAGCGATTTTTGTGAAGTCGGGTTTGAAACTGTTTGACAGGGAAACCAATTTATGGGTGACTTTAAATGGCCGATACTGGAGATAATTTGGAATTTGAAAAAAAAGTTAGTACAACTAAACAAAAAAATGTGGGGGTTTAAGGGGAAAATTGGAAACTGGATGTTCAAAAAATATTTGGGAAATTAATATTTCAAGGGAAAGGAAAATCACCCCCTTTAAAAAAAATACAAGTTTTCCGCCCCGAATCTGGGTGAACCTGGGATCGTAAACTTACAAGATTTTGGAAAAAGGGTTCATCAGGAAAGGGTTAAATTTAGTTAATTTAAAAATTTCCCTTTTTGGGTTAGTGGCAAAAAACGTGATGACCCCAGTGCATTTAGTTTTTTGATAGATCTTTTAAAAATGCTAAAAAAAAATAACTCCCAAATTTTTACACCCAAATTTTGGGGAAAAAAACTCCAGAAATTTTTTGTCACCCAAATTTAAAAGCCAAGCGAAAGTGTTTCTGGGTTTTTGACTTGCAAATGGATTTTTTAGTATTTAAATTTTGGGGGCCCGAGAGGGGGTTTCCAATTTCAAGTTTTCATTTGTCCCTAGAAAAGTCCAGTTTTTTTTCAAAGTCTTCCCCAAAGGGTTTTTTTCTTCTCCCTCTAATATTTCAAACAGGGGGATTTGCAAATGTTTTGTCTAAATTTTCTAGACCCGATTGTTTAATTCAATTTTGTAAAATGTTTTTTGTTAGAGAATTTGACAAAGAACCCCAGGGGCCCCTCTTAGCAGAATTGGTTTTTCACTTCTGCAAGATGAAGGTCTCAAAGGGTGAATACCGGCAAAGTTCGCTATGAAAAATGAAGTAAAAAATTTTTGGGGGTTTTGATTGGTCCCGGAAAAAAAGACAGCCCCTTTTCAGGAAAAAAATTGAGTCTATTGCGTCACTTCCTGTACCAACAAAATTTTAAAACA